ATTAATTTTACATTGTGTCGTCTTGTCCAATCACAGACGTTTCCTCTCCACAGGCATCATTAGAAATACTTCAGTCTCATAGCAAAGTTAAGCACAAGTCATATCCGAGAAACAACATCCACACAATGAATGAATAAGTTGTTTTAAAATTAATGTCACGTTCTTAAAATGCTTCTGATATTCAGAAGATTAGAAAGTCATGAAAAGCTCCAACCTTTGGCTCTGACCATGATTTTTTTTTAATCTTTCTTCTCTTTCAGAATGAAACTTCTTTGGTGTCGCCATGAGTGATTTCATCTTTTTACAGAGAAAGTGAAAAGCCCCAACAGCTTCAATGTGGGAAACTTAAAGAGTCAGCTTATCGTCAGGTCAGCTTTAACCATAACCGTTAACTGATCTGATAATAACGGCCTGTGGTGCCTCCTCTCTCAGCTGGGAAGTAAAAAGCAAAGCCATGGACCAAACGACCAGGGTTGTGGGTCTGGACGCTCAGGGGAACATGCTTTTCACGGTGGTGAAGCCAGTGATGAGCATCTTCCAAGTTCCTCCAGAACAAGCCGGCAGCGTGGTACAAGGTGGCATGGATCTACAGGGTTTATCTGAAAACACACTGGTCCTCCCTCAAATGCAGGGCCAGGCTCCGCTCGAGCAGAACCACGTGGAGATGCACAACATACAGCCTCACATTCCGCCTCAGATGCAGGTTTCTGCTCCAGTCCAGGCCGAGGTTGTGTCTCAGAATCAGGAGACGCCACCAAACCCCAGCACAAATTCAGCGTCTGGTAACCAGATGCCCTTCGCAGAGGTGTCATCCCTCCTGGATCCGAACATGAAGGGATCTAAGGCTCGTGAGTGACCGGTTGTTTGAAGGTTATTTTACCACCTGAATGTTTAGCAAACTAACTTCTCCTTGTGTTGCTCTACTTTCAGGGAAGTATCTCATCTCCTATGATGAAATTAAACGGCGCCTGCAGGACCCGGAGAAGATGTCCCTGCGCTCTTTGGCAGCGTACACTCGTGTCAGCAGAGGACCAGCCAGCAAGAAAACACTTCTTGAATCACTAAATGTTCTCGGTCTCACACCAAGCACAACTACCTCCGTGTCCTCCTCATTCTCCAAACTCACAGAAGGTAACGTGTGTGTGTGTGTGTGTGTGTGTGTGTGTGTGTGTGTGTGTGTGTGTGTGTGTCTGTGTCTGTGTGTCTGTCTGTGTGTGTGTGTGTTCAAATCTGAGAACACGGAGTTACAGTGAAAGAGTTTTGTTTTGTGTATTTTCTCAGGCGACACCAGAGCTTTATGTGAAGATATGAAAGATTTCTCCCATGACTACATTGATTACGGTAACATGGCGAAACAGCTCATCCCAGAGACGAACACAGTTCAACACTGGTCCAAAATGATTGAAACCAAGTACGTAGTGTTTGTGTAACTTGAGCTTTCAATCAAAAATTTATTTTTAATAAAAATATTAACAATGCTCTTTTTCCACCCTAGGAACCACCTCGAGGATATGAGGAAATGTTTCAGGGACCCGGTCAACAGTGGCGCGTTTGACAACGTCACTCACGGCCTCGGTCTGGGGATGTTGGATGTCACACTGGACATGATCATTATGGTAATCGAACAGCAAATCCGCATCTTGTCTGGTGCAGCGGCATCAGACCCAGTCGACACTGCTCCGCCGATGCGGCGTATCCGCAGGCGCCACCGTAAAACTCACTCAAATAACACTGAGACGCCTCACAAGGTGTCTGGGGGGGTCAAAGACCAAGGGAAGGTCATTTCCAAAGGAAAGGGGCGAGGCAAAGCCAGGAAGAAAATAAGACAGGACACCGGAGTGGTCGGTCCAGTGGAAACACCAGCAGAGCAGTATAAGCCAGACGATGTGGAGGGTAACGTCCTCACCCTGGTGTCTGTGGGATATGAGACTGTTTCCAGTGGGCTCAACACAGCTGGAACTGTTTGATGACTCGTCACACAAAAGGTCTAAAGAACCTTTTACAGTCCCATCAAAGAGACACAGCGGTGGGACAGTCTGCAGTCTGAGCTTTATTGAACTCCCAGGAAGAAGAGCACAGCTGTAGTGAGCTCAGCATCACAGTCTAATAGCTGTGTCCCATTTCAGGAGCCTGCATCCTACAGAGGACTGATGCATCCTACAGAGGCTGCACCCGAGCTGTCCAACTGTCCTTTAAATGCCTCCTTTCATTCCGAACAGGTGGATTCCTCTCGGGCCAACTTCCTCCAGGATTCATTGTGTGCAAGTGGCTGAGCTCAGAGAAGCTAACAATGCAGATGTAGGAGTGAGACAAGCTGAGTATGGCAGAGTAGATTCTGCCACACGTGAGTCTGTGAAGGATGTCATCCCTGGATTGGGACTCAGTTAATGTCACATCTTGGAGTCCTCTGTATTCAGCAGGCAGTTAGCTTTACTTAGCATAAAGACTGAAAGACAGGGAAGCAGCTAACATGACCTTCACAGCAACTCTAAAGCTCACCTTCACTTTTAATTTCAAACAACTGGCATCACTTGAAAAAGTTGCCTGGGCAGTGACACAGAAGTTTACTATCATGTTGGAAGCAGCCACATACAACAAGGTCCAGATGATTTTGATTTCCAAATTAATTAATATTTGGCTTAATTATTGTTATTAGAAAAAGGATTTTCTTCGGCCTGGGTTTCTTGCTGTATTATTATAATGAGAACTCTGCTAATCACAAAAACCAAAGTGACTAGTGTTTTACAGGCGGGTTTTATGTGTCTTGACTGCAACAAGCTGACTCTGTTTAATAAGATTTGTTTCCCAAGATCCAGGTTTGTTTGCCCCTGCTTCCTGTCTTTTTGCTAAGCTAAGCTAACCAGCTGCTGTGACATGTTGTGACGGATGTGAGGATGATCTCCAACTTCTCATCCAACAGTTGGCAAAATTGTGATAAAGCACATTTCCTGAAATGTTGAACTCTTTCATTAAGTGACTCCTTTGTTTCTTTAGTAGGTTTTCTATGTATCTTGATGTATAAACAGATCCTGTCACATTATCTTTTCCTGTCTTAGGTCTTTCTAGCGAATGGACAAACCAAGGAATGTAAAATGTAAACACACGCTGTCCTTGCACAAGTACAGATCACAACAAATAATATCAGAGGTCTCCATTGTTATTATTATTTTGCTGGTACAATGTCTCCTGTTACCCTCTTTTATTTATTGTTTAGATTTCCAGTACTGTTCTGTACTAAAGTGATAAAATGTCTGTTTTTACTGGAGTAAAATATGAAGATTTAGTTTTCATAACTTTGCGAATCTGTTATTGTGAGAAAAAGATGTCACAGGGGATAGAATGAGCTCGGTTTGAATATTTGTTCACCAACAAAATAAGAGAGAATCATATAATTTTATAATTTAAAAATCAAACCTCATTTTATTAGAGCCCGACTGATATGAGCCTAACTTGGATATATATTAACATTAGTTAAAGTTGTTTATATTTGGTTGTATTTATGTTTTCTTTTTGTTTATGGTTATTTATAATAAAGTTTATGGTTAAGTTATAAACTATCAAGCCTCAAATACATTTCTTCATTTTAAGGATTAGATCTTTGGAATCATTGAAATTTTTAAAAATATGTTTGCTTATCAAAGATTTTTCAAAAATCCTTATCGGTCGGGCTCTTCTGTTTGTTAAAACCATGATGTTTTCACACCATCGTTACTTTTAAACATTTATCAGAAACCTTCCAGGTCACAGATCTGCTGGGGCACAATCTTTCTTTTTCTCTAATCAAAACTCAACAGGTTGCTATTTATGTTTTAACACCTCCATCTTGTGGGCACTTCAGGGAACACCACATTAACTGAACGTGTCTAGAAAGCTCTATATAAACTAAATCCATCAGTTAATCTGAGCCGTGATGCAGGTGACAACCGCTGCTGAGACCAGTCGACGTTTCCCAATGAAACAAAAAATACAGCTGCTGATAAATATTTTCTTCTTTACTTCCAGTTCAAGTAATATTGTTTATGTTTTTCTCTGGTGAGAAGACAAACAAGAAAACCCATTTTCTTTTAAATCCTGTTCCTGGATTGTTTAAGAGAGAAAATTCCAGTGTGTGTTGTTTTGGCTGAAAGGCATTGTTTGAGATTTTTAGGTGTGAACGCAGCAGAGTCAGCTAAGTGCTAATGCCTTCACTGCACACACACACACACACACACACACACACAGGGTGGGGGTGTGTGTGCTATAAGTCCTTCAGCAGCTTTACTGAGGATTTTCTCCGTATTAACCCTGAGAACCAGCTGGAATAAGGAAGGCAGTCGTGTAGAATAAAAACAAATACTTGTGTTTATTATTAACATTACTTATACCAGTGTGGGTGAGGTGAGACTCAGAGAAGGCTGAAGTGGGATTTTTCAAGCTGATGCCCGAAAGAAAAATCCCCAAAGAGCAAATCAGCAGAAAGAAAAACGAGGATGCATGAAGATGTGTTTTGCGTGAAGATGTCGACCTGAGAAAGTTTCAGCTGCACGGAGACGACAGAGCGGAGCAGGATGGGACACACCAACATGCCTCTCAACTACAGCTGCACTCGTCCACAGACGGATAAATGCAGATCCAGTGGACTGCAGCCTTACAGCTGCAACGGTGAGTTCAACACCGCCATGACTGTAACATGGTCATCAGATCATGTGACAAGTAACTTTTACTCAGTCACTTGTTCATCACACAGTTTTGTAGGTGCAATGTTTCCTTTGATTTCCGTGAATCCTTAATGAGCAAATTTGCAATGTTTCGCAGGGAATTCTCTAATGTTTGCTGTGTTGAAGTATTAGTTTCTTTAATATGTTTCACCATCCACACAGTCATTGTGTATTCATTTCTGTAGTTCTGCAGAACTGGTACGATTCCCATCAGCCCGATTAGGAACACATCAACATATTAGCATTGTCACTGACAGAGCTTGAGCACGTTGGCAGAGCACCGCTGTGAGTACATCCTCACACAGCTGCTGGCGTGTCTGCAGCGCTATAAACTGGTTTTCTTTTGCACCACAAACACTAACAAACCGTCAGGAACCGCTCGGGTCTAATCCAGAGAGAGGAGACGCCACATCTGGATGTTTCTACAAGAAGCAACACAGTGCGTCTGAGTTCACTTTGTCTAATTATTCTCTATACTCAGTTGGTATTTTGTCCTACTGAAAATGTAGAGCAAGTCTTGATTCTAATGGAGAAAGTGTATGAAAGCATCCAAACTTGCTAAGAACTAGAAGTTGGACAGAAGCGACGAAAACTGGGAGACAAGAAATGTCTTCAAATTACGTCCCAGAGTGGAAGCAACAGCTGGTGTATGGACATTACTGTGAATAAAGATGGATGACATGGCTCCACTTCCTCCTACTATCCAGAAATGAAGCCAAAATATCTCGGATTCGAACGCTGCCGTCTTTGGGGCCAGAGTCTGTGCTTGACCAATTGCGCACAATGATTTACCCATATTTCTATAGCATCAAATAACTACTTAAAATCAAACTTATCAGAAAAATGTACTTTGAATCTTTAGTCCATGTCCCATCCACTAACAGGAAGGATATGACCTGTACTGCGACCAGCCACCAGGGGGCTGCTGAGCTTGGCTTCTCTTGTCGTCCATCTTCACATCCAGTGTTTTCATGTGGTGCGATCTCACTCAGCTGTAATGACTTCCACATGTCGCATGCCCGTGCAGCTTTGATGCCTTTGACTCATGTTCTGACCTTTAAAACGTCTCCGTTTATCTCATTTCTTATCTCGGCACAGACAACCTGAACAACGCGTTGGGTTCCATCAGAGTCCTTGGTCTGGAGCTGATTGAGCATGAACTGAAACCACATCTGAACACGGTGCTGACCAACATTAAGGAGGGACGTGAGTTCATTTACACCGATCTTCATTCTAACAGAAATGTATTATCAGTGATAAGATCCTTCAGGCCTCAGTGGTGACACACGATTCGATATATATATATTTATCCCAACCTGTCACAGGCTCTGAGCTATAACGAGGAGTTCTCAGGGTTATTTTTTGTGTCACAACAAACTGTACACAGCTCTGCCGCCGCATGCAATTTACATATTTATGTGTTTCCACACCGGAGCACCTTAAGACATCGTGCCTCCCACTCCTGGTGGTAGCAGCTGTATCATGGCTGCTCGTTCTGAATGATGAAACGTGCAGAAAACCCACAGCGGAGGGGAGCGGGGGTGGGGGGGGGGGCAGGGGAGTTGAGGGGCTGTGAAGGGATCAGGTGGGTGACAGTTGTAAGTCCGCGGCAGACGTTAAGCTGTATTTGTGTCTCCCAGCAAAAGAGCATCAGGGAGATAGAGGCAGACGAGGTAAACACAGGTCACACTCGTCAAAGAGAGGAAAGACGGAAAACACTTAAAGTTTAAATCCAGTTTGATTAAAGCGACCAATCATTCAGAAAACTAACACTTGTTTTATGTAGTTTCTTCTTTGAAGCCAAGTTTTCCTGTGGATTTGGGCTCACGAGGTTGTTTGTAGCAGGTCGTGGTTCTTGTTAACTTACGCGCTGCGTCTAACTCCACTTGTGTCCAGAGAAGGGCGCTGCTGAGCAGGTCGTGGTCAGCGGGATTCTTCCAATCCTGGCGCTGTCTCTGAGGAGCAGAGGGCCCCTCACGCTGCTGACGGCAAAACTAGTGGCTGAACTCGCCAAGGAATGTAAGTTCTTTCTCCAGATACGTGTATACACATAGTTTTTACACTTTTGAATAAACTCCCAATTGATTCTTGTTTCGTAAGTTTCATTTTGTTTCCCTCCAGCTGTGGTTCGTAAAGGTTTTGGCGACGCGGGCTTGGTTACGGCTCTGCTGTCGGTGTTGACCAGCTCAGACCAGGAACTGCTCCTTCACGCTGTGAGGGCCATCGCACGGATGTCGTACGACAGCTGTAAGTGAAGGAAACCAGTGACGAATAGCATCTTATCACAACGACGCTAGCAGTAGGCACGTTGTAGTTACAGCCCCGGCATAGGTCATGAACCCTGCTTCCTCCATGTTAGCAGATAGGACATGTACCAAACTAAAATGGATCACTGTTACAAAGACTCAAATAATCAAGATGGCAGCTTCCGTATCCGGGATATTTTGGCTTCATTTCTGGATAGTGGGAGGAAGTGGAGACATGCTGTCCATCTTTATCTATGAAACAAACAGCTCTTGGCCTTGGCATCATTTGTTCTCTTCCGGTTCGTGTGCAGCAACGTTTATCAAATATAAAAAATAAATATAACACACTCTGAAGGATTATTCTCTCTCTTCCTGTGTCTCCTTCAGCGAAGCAGCAGGAACTGTTATTGCGTCGAGGTGCGGTGCCTCGTCTCGTCGCCATCCTTCTTCGTTTTCCCGACAAGGAGACTCTGGAGGAAGTTTGCCTTCAGGCCCTGTGTAGCGTCAGTGGCATGGGGGTGGCGGAGGAGGCCGGGATGGTCTGGGAGAGGGGTGCGTCTGTGAGGCCCGAGGAGTCTGTGTTTCACGGCGTCTCTCCTCACACCTGTGGTTTTGCTTCTTCTGTGATTCTTGTGCGAGCGTCTCGATGGGCTCCGGGTCAATACGCGGTCAACATCGAGGTCTTCCAGCGCTGCTCCTCCTCTTTCTGGAGCCTTCATGGGAACAAGCGGACTGCTCGCTGGTTCCCCTTCTCCAGTTTGGGGAGTTGTTCAAATCTCTCCAGCTTGATCAAGTTCCCAGGGAGGAATGTTCCTCAAACAAAAAGTCTAAAGACTCGCATGTTCCACACTTTTCTCTGACGGAGGAAATTATGAAAATGTTGTGGCTTGACTGAACTGATATATATATATTTTTTCTTGTTATGTTCGTTATTCCCTGGCTCACTTTGTAAGTATAATCGTTAACTTTTCCACCACCTGCTTCCAGTAATACAGCGGCAGTTCATTTAACTGATTCAGCTCTTATAGGAGACGATGATGTTCTGTTTGGTTTCTGTGAAATAATTAAATCAGAGATTTAGACAGAAAAAGCACAAAAAAAATTTAAATAATAATCTGCACCTTAAAATGAAAAAGCGCTTGAAAAACTGAATTTATATTCTCAGCAGCAATTTTGATCGATTAATGCTCTTTATGATCTTTTTTATTATCGAACCTTAAATAAAATGTCTGAACAGCAGATAAACTTTTAGATAAATGTTTTAATATTGCTGGTATCAGGGGTAACTTTTTACACAATGTTTGCACACAAGTAACATGCACTAAATGATATCTAGTACTAGACATACCAGAGTATATAGGATTGTTGGTATTTACAAATAATTTATTAGGTGTAGATTATTTGAGATCAGATATTTTTTATATTTTTTACGGACAAGAATCAAACCAACAATAAACACTTACTGTGTATGTGGTGTTACCTTTTGTAAATGGTTTGTGTTTATTTTTCGTTTTTCCTGATTGTTTTTTTTTTTTACCCTGCTTCGCTCTGTAATTTGATTCAAATGGGTTTTAGACTCCAGGGGAATAAATTACTGTGGAAGTTGTGAGATCTCAGACAGAAGGAAACCCAGCGAGGACACAGGCTAATGGCTCCTGTCTAGAGTTTGAGAAGATCTTTTTAAATGCAGCCATGATGTCAAGTCAAGTCGTCCACTAAAGAATATGCACAAACATCCTCAACTGACTCTTCTCTTCTCTCACTTATTCAGTGATCTGTGACAGCTGGATTACTCCAGGCAACCACTGGATGGCGAGCGTGTGCTTTGTGGAAACCATTGCACAGTGTCAAAATGAAAGAAATGGAAGTTTGTGACTTTTCACATGTGCCCGAACACATGGACTGAATCTAATAAAAGACCAACAGTGGAAATTCTCTGACATTTACATTGATTTAATTGGTTTGCTTCCCCCCGCTGATATGAAAGCTGTTTGTGGTCGTGTCTGAGTTAAATTGAACGCCTGCCCTTTGATTGTAAATCTGGTAAATAGAAAATGCCAACACAAAGACACAGTTGCATCCCTCTTCCTCTAATTATCTCTCTTATTGGTTCCATCCTGCTCCAGGCGTCCAAACGTGGGGGCACGTCCTCTGATCAATCCAAACCTTATTACTCGGGGAGACACTTAAATATTTCATGTGACAGAGATGAGACGTTAGAATTATTTACAGGTGGACAAGAGGTGCACACAAACTTATTCTGACTGACCAGACTGTCCTCTGGTGGAAATCTGGTTCACTCCAAAAACATTCTGCCAGCTGACGGTGCACTGAGACTAAGATACGATTCCGTGATAATGAGATGGAAATGCTTCTTTTCTTATAAAACAATACAAAGCCTAACAGACTGCACAGAGTGGGAGTTTATCCCCAGGTTGTGCTTCATGAATCATAACCAGCGATCTGGGAAAAATCCAGAGGGTCTGAAGGCTTTGCTGAAAAAACTAAAATATTCTGTCTGTTACATGATTTGAAAAATCATTTTTAACCTCTTGACCCCCGACTTTCCCGCTGTCTGCTGATCCAAACAATTTGTGTCTATTTTCTGGGCTGTGACCTTGGATTCAGCTTCGAGCTCATTCAGCTGTTAAAGAAAAGATGTTTTCATCAAAGCAAATAGTTCAATTATTATCTGAGGGATCAATGTAAATGTGGAAAAATGTCCAAACATACAAACGAAGATTAAAACACAACCTCTTGATGACATTTACTGATTTCTTGGATTCTTTTATAATTTTTTCTTTCAAATTCATTTTCATTCATGAATTATTCTTGATTTCTCAGAGACTTTTATCTATTTCATATTGAACATGTCAGAGCTGCAAATGTAAAAGGATAATAAAAAAAATAGCATTTATGATTAACTAACACCAAACATAGTGTTATTTTTCATTGTCTTGAACTTTGCAGAAACACGTGATGCTCCAGACACGTTAAGAGTTAAATCGATAGCACCCTTCCACGGTGCAGGGAGAGGACGTATATTACTTTTAATATCCGACTCATTAATAATGCATGACGAACTTTGCATTATATGCCCTGAAACTCAGATAACACGGCTGAGGACTGTTTTATTGCTTGTCTTTGCAAATGAGTCATTTAGACTTTAATCCTCTTGTTGTTTCCTGCAGAAACAAGTGCATGTAATTGCATTAGGATTTCACGGTGCTGAGATTCTAATTGCTGCTTTCGTCATTTCTTCACTGTGGCCTCAGTTATTCTTACCCTGTAGCATCCTTCAGCGGTAGGCAACAGTCACCCACCGTGTTGACTCTCTCTCTCCCTCACACATACACTCTCACACACACACATACACACACTCACAAGATGCAGGAGTGTGTGTGTTTTCCCTCTGGACAGTGAATGCATTCACTTTGATTGCTCTGGGTTTGGTTCTTGTCTTTAGAATAAAACAGGTTTGATTGTCGAGCAGATAACGCACACACCCTGATCCTCTCCGCAGAAACCTCGTGACAGGTCGATGACAACTCTCATCAGCAGAGACCCCGGATTAGCTTGAACCAATCAATTCTTCTGTCAAGTGCGAGTGAGTTTTTTCGGACAGCTCCTCTCAATTGTGCCGTTCGACCTCAGAGAAGAGACCTGACGCCTGGAAATGTGTCACTAGCAGCTGGTCTCACGGGTCCATTGTGCAAGAAACGTCAAGGAAAATAGGTGGTTTTCTAACGTGTCGTCTGAGAGTCCCGGCTACACAGGCCGATATATAAACGCAGCTCATTTCGTTCAATTAGCCTGTGCTGCACTGACGGGTTTTCAAACAACAACGACATGTCCATTATTTTATCAAGAAATATACATGGGTGTAAATGGGTTAGAGAAAAATGTAATATATCCAAAAAATAAAAAGTGAGCCAATATTGTTTCCACCACCAGTGACCAGACACCCCGGGGGTTCCGGTCTCATCTCCCGCGTATATGAGCCTGTGCCTCAGGAAGGTCGCTTCACATCGATGGAGCACAATCACCAGAGATTTTCCATTTATAAGTGTTTTACTGTCGATTAGTTATTTTATTCCAACACATGGAGACGTCAACATTTCAATCAGAAGAGCAAGAAAACAAAACCGTAGCAACTTTTAACAGTAAGAACAGTGAATTGAGATTTCATCCGACCGCCAACACGCCCGTGGTTGCCCTGTCATGGCACCTCGCTGTACCTCGCTGCAGATGTTAAACTCAACACCAAAGAGTTCACCACGTCTCAGGCAGTTTATTTTTACCCGCAGATGTCAGAGAGCTGAACGGTTGGTTCAAACGCCGGCTCCTTCACTTCTATTTCTGTAGCGACATCACAGGCACAGATGTAGCTCGCTCCCGCTGCTCTGAGCGACAGAATAAGGCTGGAACTGGAACAGGAGACAACAACTACGACCAAACGCTGAGGCCGAGCTTCAGGCACGTCGTGTGTGTGTGTGGTGGTGGGTTAGTGGGATGGGAGGCCATCTGTCCTGGCCTATTACGTCCATCACAGGAGGTCCTTTCCCCAAACACACACACACACACAGACACACACACAGACACACACTTCATGGAGTTTATGGCTAATAGACAAAAAGGAGAGTGTATGACTAATAGCAGACATTATTTTCATGCACAGCATTCTGTTTTTTGAGGGAATGTTGCATCCCGACATTACCAGCAGGGGAAGGTGATAACACGGCGAAGGGACGGAGGACGACGGCAGAGCAATGGCGCGCAAAGATGACACGGCAGATGGTTGATTGGAGATTATCGCTGTGGGAGGAAACACCGGGAAGCCAATTAGGGGAGGGGACAGTGGTGCACAGACGGTCGGAGGACCAATCAGAATTCTTCATGTTTGAGCACGTACTGCAGAGTTTCAGAATTTTTATCCTGAATGATTATTTTGATCTTGGGTGTGAAAGCATGTGTGTTTGTGTGTAAATATAATAGACTGTGTATAAAGAGAGGGAGATGCTCCGCCCCCTGTTGTGAACTTGTCATGTCGTCCATCTTTATGTTAATATCTCTGTCCAGGAGGTTATGTTTTCACCCCTGTCCATTTGTTTTTTTGGCTTGTTTGTTTTTAACACAAAAACTAGAGGATTTATTTCCATGAAACTTGGCAGAAGGATTTAATATGGTCAGGGAGGAACCCATGACATTTTGGTGAGGAGGAGGGGGGCAGAACCAGCATTGTTCTCTGGGATTGTTTTTGTTTTCAACATTTTACTTGATTTCTCAGAGAATCATTTATGGATGTTGATTAAAAAAAAAACCATCAGGTATGTTTAGGGGACTGGTATTTATCTGCAATTTGGATCTAGTGAAAACCAAGATGTAGTGAATTCAAATGTGGTTTCATACGAGGACTGTTGGGCCTTGGCGGAGGTGTGACCTCTACTGAGTAACATCCTGGTTCAAACCTGTGGTTGAACAGTTAATGAACGGTTGTAAGAGCTGATTATGACTGAGACATCTGGGCCGTTCTCTTAATCAGTGATAAGATGGCAGGAGAGTGTGTGTGTTGATCTGAGTGTGTCTGTGGTAAAGATAGTGAGAGTACAACATGAAAACAGAGTGAGACTAAAACACAGAAAAAAAAGAACGACAGCAGCCGCGGCAGAGCGACAGACAGAAGTGAAAATAGAGCTGACTTTGACGAAAACATCAAAATGATGCTTGAACTTTCCTTTAAGCCTCGTCTCCTCTTTTCTCTCCGTTTACAACTTTGTGTCTCGTTTCATTTTTTTTTTTTCCTCCTGCTTTCTGTGCCTGTTCCAGTAAAAGTCTCAGCTCTCCCTTTCCCCTCAGCCGG